GAGCACTTTCTTCCATATGTGTCTTGTCTCTTGACAGCAGAAAAATAGATGATTCATCGTCTCTTCCTCGGTTTGACATAAATTGCATTCGCCGTCTTTAATCATGCCAAAACGTTTTAATCTATCCTCGGTTGCAAGTTTCCTATGACATGCTTGCCTTAAACAAAACACTTCTCGCGGTCGGCTCTTATAGGATCTTATCAAGTTTCTCCAAAGTACCCTTGTGCCATCATCAATCAGCACCTTGTAAAATACCAACGCCTTAAACTTTTGAGTGTTCAGAAGTTGGTCCCATTCATTCCGTATTAAATCTATGGTATCTCTTTGTTTCAAAATTCTGCGTATGATCCAAGAGTTGTGATTTTTGGTTGCATAATTCATCACATGTTTTCCCTTTAGGTAATGAATATGAACCCATTTCACCCATAGAGTATCAGTTTTGCTGCAAAGATTCCATAAACATTTCAAGAGTTGTACATTGTTCCAAACCTGTAGATTTAGCAGGTTCGTCCCACCTTGTGCAGCAGGGCAACAAGTGTGTTTCCATGCCACATGGCACTTTCTGCTCATTGTATCCTTACTGGTCCAGATGAAACTGCGACAGATGGAGTCTATCTTCCTGATCACAGATTTGGGTATGGGAAGGCAATGCAGTCAGTACTGTACCATTGCATAAGCTATACTTTTCACCAATTGTATTCTTCCGGCATAGCTTAGAAGTTTAGATGACCAATGATGAATTCTAGCCACTATTCTATCCACCAAGGGCATAAAATGGTTGATGGTTAATTTCCTGGCAATAGGGGTGGTCATGGATGGTTAATATCCAAAACCAATCCATAACCATAAATAATCCATATATTACAACCGGTTATTAAAACCAATTCTCATAACCGGTTTTTATTTTTTAAAATAGTTATAAACCGGTTATTAACCGGTTATATCCACAACCAATTTTATAATTAGTTTTGATTTAATTTTATTTTAAAATTGATTTTTTTAAAATCATAATATTTTTTTAAAAAAATATGGATGTTAAAAAAAAACAATAGTTATTTTAAAATTTTAAAAAAATATATTTTTAAATTTTTTTTTTAAAAAAAATTATTTACTGAAAAAAATTAAAACAATATTTTTTTCAAAAAAAATTAAATTTTTTTTTCAAAAAAAAATATTTTCTTTTGAAATAAAAATATTTTCAAAGTTTTTTTGAATATGGATGTCCAAGTTTATTTTCAAAGTATCACAATTTATTATTTATTTTTTGTGCATTGATATTATTTTTGTTAGAAGTTAAAAGAGAATTTTTTTTTAAATTTTGGAAAAATTGAATCGTAACTGGATTCTAATAATGAATAACCAAATATTTTTTAATATAATTAATAACAAATATAATTTGAACTTTTTAATTTGGTGAATCAAATTTGTAATTATAATTTAAATGAACCGGTTTAAATGGAAACTCTAATCTTAACTAAACATCTAATTCAATACATGCATTAGATAACTTAAAACCAAGACTAAACAAATTAAAACTACAACTCACAACTTATAAATTTTTTATAAATAATTCTACAAATGATAAACCATGCATATTTAAAAGCTATCTTATAATAAGTATAATAATTGGAAGCATTTGGTATATGAGATCATTTCTCTAAACAAACAAAAGGTGCTAATGCTGAGCAACAATGATAAAGAAAACAGAAAGTTAAGCAAAAACCACAACCAAACCAAAAACACCAAAAGAATGAATCACATAGAAATCTTAAAGAGCCGCTACTAACAGAATGAAATTGGCACAAATAATAAAATTAACAAAAAAATATTAATGCACAAAAAACAAATAAATTGTGAAAGTTTTTTTTTCAAAATAAAAATATTTTCAAAGTTTTTTTTTTAATTAAAAAAATTGACTAATTTGGTTTTTATTTTGGATATGGATGTCCAAGTTATGGATTTGATTAAAACCATATTAAAAATAAATCCAAAATGTGAATTTGGTTAAAACCATACTAATAATTAACCGGTTTTTAATAACCGGATTTGAATATGGATATAGATTATTTAAATAACCGGTTTATTTGAGCACCCCTACCTGGCAAATAGAGGTATTCCTATGTATTTGAAAGGAAGCGTTCCTTCTTGGAAACCCGACAGCTCTTTCAAGATCCTTCTCTTCTCATTGTCCAGAGCTCCAAATTATATCATGCATTTGTTAGGGTTCATTATCAACCCCATGGAATTGGAGAAATCCCTGAAAGTTTGTAGAATCATTTGCAATGATATGTCGTCGCCTCTGCAGAATAACAACACATCATCTGCAAAAGTGAGGTTGGTGATTTTCAACTTTTCACATTTGGCATGGTAGTTGAAATTAGGGTCTCTTTGCATTTTCACCAACATTCTATTCATATACTTCATTTTGAGGACAAAGAGCATAGGTGATAAAGGATCACCCTGTCGAATTCCCCTTTTAGCCTGTAGGATATCAGTGTATTCCCCCATGATGTTAAATCTGTATGAAACAGTGGTGATGCCTAGCATAATATATTGGATTAATTTGTTAGGGAGTCCCATTTCCTTCATGATGCACTTTAAAGCCTTCCAATTAACCATATCATATGCTTTTTGTAGATCTAATTGCATGATGATTCTAGGTGTGCCTCCTTTCCTGGTGTAGCCCTTAAGCAATTCAGTAGCAAGCATGATGTGATTATGGATGTTCTGGCCTGGCACGAAGGATGCTTGATTTTGGTTTACCACACTAGGTATGACAGATCCTAGTCTGTCAGTCAGAATCTTGGAAATAATCTTATAGAAAGTGGTGCAGACAACTATAGGTCTGTAGTCTTTGATTTCACAAGCATTATGGCCTTTTGGAATCAAGGATGATACAACACTGTTGAAAGCTTTGTATATTTTACATGTTTCAAAGTATTCCTTAACAGCTGTTATCACATCAGCTTTTATAGTTTACCAGCTGATTTTAAAAAATTTGGCTCCATACCCGTCCAACCCTGGTGCTTTGAGGTCTTCAATTCCCTTAAGGGCTTTGGTAATGTCGTTTTCTGATATGGGTCTGGTGAGGTACTCCCTTTGGTCCATGTCAAGTTGTTTTCTTATCCTCGTGGCTTCTATGTCAATATGTCTAATGTTCTCAGCATCTTTGCCCATTAGGTTGCTGTAGAATTTAATCACTTCATCTTCAATGTCTGTTTTGGTTGTTATCTGTCTGCCATCACTCTTCTTCAGGTTGTTAAGGTAGTTGGAGTGATGTCTGCCTTTGATAGCAGCATAGAAATACTGATTGTTGCCATCTCCCTTCCTAATCCAGTCAATCTTTTCTCTTTGATGCAGAATCTTCCATTCCATTTCGTTCAGGGATATCACTTCTTCAGTCAGATCTTTTGTTTTCCCAATCAAGTTGTTGTTCATTCTGTCATTCCTCAGCTTTTCTTGTGTTTCTTTTAGGGTATTTCTAGCAGATACCAATTTGGTTTTAACATCAGATAGAGGTTTACTGAAGTGTTTTGACTCATGCTTCAATCTCTTGAGTTTGTGCCAAAGAACAAACATTGGACTACCCCTAATATGGCCATCCCAATTCTTCTTTACCAAAGTGTCATAACCTGGAAGTTCAATAATGCAGTTGCTAAATTTAAACTGTCTGGAGGGTTTCCTATGTTCTTGGTTATATTCCAAATAAAGCATGGCATGATCAGAGATATTAGGTGGGAGGAATTTTCGAGTAGTCTCCATATTAGTGAGGAACCAATCAGTATTGCCTAAAACTCTATCAATTCTTGAGTAAATGGGACCAGCTGTTTGTTTATTGGACCATGTGAAATGATCCCCAATGCTATCCATTTCACTTAAACCTGTATTCTCCATCATTTTCGTCAGGTCTACATATTCCATTTCAGTCACTAGATTCCCTCCTATTTTGTCTTGGGATTTGGTTACATTGTTGTAATCTCCAATAACACACCAAGGCCCTTGGATGCTACCATATATGTGTTCTATTTTTGTCCACAAGGTTTTCCTTTAGTTTAATTGGTTATGAGCATATACAACAGTTAGACAGTGCTTGAATTTTCCACAATTATCATAGATGCCACAGTGGATACATTGGCTGCTACTTCGTATGAACTTCACATTCACCCTGTTACTATCCCAGTGAATCCATATTCTACCATTTGTATAGTCTTTGTAATTGTCAATGTGATTATCATACATCATCAGTTTCTCTCGAATGGTCTTAGCTTTAGCTTCTTTAACTCTGGTTTCAATCAAAATAATAATAACAGGCTTTAGCTCTTGGAGACGGGACCGAATCTCACGAATTTTTCCGACTTTATTGAGTCCCCTTATGTTCCATGAGACTAACATGGTTCAAGGTTTGTGGTCACTTGATAGTCATTCAAAACCTCAAGTGCTTTAAAACCATTGTTACAGTTGATGTTGTTGTTTGTATCAGTCACTATGTTTTTACCTTTATCTCGTACAGACTTTCGCGCTCTTGTCCAAGAGTCCCTTCCTGCTCATGTTGTCTCCTCTCTTTCTTGTGGTTTAACAGGCGTTATGTTCGTGGAAGTTTCTGGTGGCTTGAGTTTTGGTTTCCATTGTTGTTTCTTCCCTCGATCTTCACATTTATGCCCCATTTTTTGACATGTTTCATAGAATGTTGGTCTCCATTCATAATTCACAGTCTGCATTATTATATCACCTTCAACATTTCTAATGGCTATTTCATCAATCAAAGGTTGTGTAATGTCTACCTCAATCAGTAGTCTTGCATATGAGACACGAAGCTTTTTTGCAGTGCATTCATCAGTCACCAACGATTTGCCAATAGCACTTCTAATTTTGCTGAGACTTTTTGCCCCCCATAGATGCAGGGGAAGTTGGGGGAGTTTGACCCAAATTGATAAAGTTCTTAGCATATCCTTCTTTAAGTTGAAACCAGTTTGCCATTCCTTCAATATCATGGGCATGTTTCAAATCGTGTATGGGCCTTTCATCATGACTGCTTCCTTGTCTTCTTGGGAGTTAAATATAAGCAGAAAATAGCCATCATCGTGGTAATACAAATCTGGCATCTTCACGAAATTCCACATTCTCTGCATAAAGTTCTTCACTGTGTTCATACTCAGGTCGTCCCCCATAACATAAAGGATTAAAGCATTATCCCAAAATTGTATTTTCGTTTCGATATCTTCTTGTTCAATATCAATTTCAATCACTTCATTAACGATCTTTGGCGCAACGTACTCTATTGCCATTCCTTTTGCAGGGCTCCGGTTGTCATTGATAACATCAACCCATGGTCTACGCTCTTTAGGTTGTGGTTGTGTCGGTTCTATTAGGGTCTTCTTGTTCTCCTTCGCTAGTGTGTTTGTCATATCTTTGTCTTCTCCGGCAGTGGTTCTTGATTCAATCCCAGGTGTCTGAACACTAACTGTGGTATTTCTTGATTCAGGCTGAGGCGTCTTCAAGCTAGTGAGAGTTTCCGGTGACGGTGGCACCGTGGATTTCAGCCGCCCTCGTCCCCTTTTCGTCGTCACCATGTTTTATTTGTACAATCACTTTCATAAATTTTTGCTATTCATAAATATCAAAAAATACTAAAAAAATACTTTGTTGATTTAAATATTTTTATATAGATTCAAATATAAGTAATGTCAAAATAAATAATATTTATATACGAGATCAAATTCGTTGTTAATTATAGTCATTATTTAAATAAGTGGAAGGGTACAGTATGATTTTTGTTCTGTGAAAAAAGAAATTTAAAAAAGTTAAGTAATTATGACTAAACAGGTGCATACTGAAGATTTGATATAAATTGTGTGTCTCAAAAAATTAAAAAACAATATTTAGAGTTGACTTTTTTCAAGACTAAGGATGTAGGTTGATAGACATTTTTCAAATTATTTAACAAATCATATTGAAAAATTGATTTACAAAATATTCTCATGTCACGTTAGTGTCCAAGATTATAATATTCAACAAAAGTAAAAATATCATATTTATCTTGATATGTTCATCTTGTTAGGGTTTCAGTTGGATCTCCCTAGGAATATTAGGAATCTCTATGATATGTTCATCTTGTTAGGGGAAGAGTCTAAGTCTAGGAGAGTATTTTCTATAATTTGACATGATGTCGCGTGGTCTATTTTGTTTTATATAATATTTTTGGTAGTTGAGCACATAATATATTGAACTCAACAATTTGATGGGTGTATATAAATTTGAACATATTAAAAATTAGAGATTAATATTTTATATATGTATTCATATGTTTAAACAGTAATTAGAGATTTATAAGGAGGCCCAGTGAAGTAATACAGGGTTTTTTAAAGTGAAAAAAACAAACCCTAATTCTAGAGATATAAATCCTACTAGTTGTTTCAATTTAGTTTTGGAGGCAAAACACAAAGCTTGAAGAATTTGTCATTCAGGTTAGGTTTGCAGCAACGGCAGAATGGTGAAAAAAGTCAAGAGTGAATCAACTGAGTTGCCTGATTGTATTATATCACATATCTTTTCCAAGTTAAGTTTGAAGAATTTGGTGAAAACTAGTGCATTGTCCAAACAATGGTATCACGAATGGGGATTAAGAAAGGACCTCAATTTTGATCTCCATAATATATTTGACTGTAATCCAGAGTTACCCCACTCTTTCCACTCTTTCAACAACTTCAATCTCAATTTGCCACAAGATTGGATTATTTCATCCAGAAATATCATGGTGACATCATCAGTTCAATCAGAATCAATTTTCCATTAGGTCGGGATAATACTCATGTCATTGATAGATTGATTCACAAGTTCTTAAGGGTGCCAATCGTATTGAGCTGCTCTTCGCATATCCAAAGCTATTGCCTAATTTTGAAAAAGCAATGCCCTTTCCATATAATGAATCTGATTTTGAAAAAGAAATGCCCTTTCCATATAATGAATCTGATTTTAAAATAGAGCCATACAATTTTTTCTTGTCTGACTCTCATAATTCTCTCACATATCTACACCTACAGAACTGCCGCATAATGGAATTTTCTGGATTGAAGAATTTGACAACGCTTGTGTTGCATCTACTTCCTGTCGAGCAGAATATGCTTCAGGATATGTGTCTTAAATGCATCCATCTTGACAACTTGACTCTTAATGAATGTACCTTCAGATCTGACTTAAAAATAACTAGTACAACATTGCTTCATTTGAACATTAACTGCGGGGATATCATTGGCGAGAAGATTAATATTGATATCATTGCATCAAATCTCTCCTTCATTCAATATTCCTCAGACTTTCTCTCTGAATTTCTATTACACACACTGAATATCAAGTCTCATAAGTTATCCAACTTTAGCTACACATGTGCTCAAATTTCTAATCTTGTTCACTTTTCTGAACTCAAGAATGTCACAACAATTGTCTTGGATGGACTCATGGAGGGTGATGTCATAAACTTTGGACTCAGGGAGGGTGATGTCATAACTCATCTGTTTTCTAAATGTCTCCAACTCCAACATGTCACCATTAGCCAGTGTTAGCTCACGTGTGAATGCAAAATCATCAGTGCAAAGTTGCGTCATTTGAGCATACTTCATTGTTTCAATACCAATGTCTTGGATATTGCTTCCAATGGCTCATTGTTTGAATACAGAGGTCATCCGGAGACGAGGAGCATACTCTCTATTCATGCTTTGAATCTCTCATCCTTTGAATTTAGAGGTCATTCGGAGATGAGGAGCATAATCTCCATTGAGGCCCCAAACTTATTGAAGGATTTTTGGGATGCAGGTTTTAACAAGATATGCATATAAGTTATGGCTTTAACTTTTTTTAAATTAGTTTTAAAACTGCTTTTAAGATTCATTTTATATGTTGTTCAAGGTAACTTAAAAGTCAATATGAAAACAGTTTTATTTTATTTTATCTTTTGTTAAAGAGAAGCAACTTATATATAAAAATTTATATGATAAGTGTTTGTGTTGAAAGTGATTCACTAAGTTGTTTATTTAAATAAGGCAAAAATAAATTTATTTCTCGTAAAAAGTCATCCATAATTAGGGTAGTATATGGTATAGTTCTTTCAAAGAATTGAATTATACCGAACTTAACCATAATAAAAAATTATTGATTGTGATTTCATGAGTCTATCGGATTATCTAACTGTAAGTATATAGTCTATCGCGTATTTTAAAAGATATCAAATTCACGGGAACTAATAATCAATCTACTGTTATTTATTGATACTGTGTAAAGTTATGGCTAATGAATATTTGAGTTAGGGGAAACTAAAACTAAAATTAAAACTAAAATAAGATTTTAAAAATATATTAGACAAGAGAGACCAGAATGTGATTCCGTGCATCTTGAGGACTTTGTAATTCATTGGCGTTAGTTAATGGTTAATTTTCCTTCAGTAGATAATACAAGTTTAAAAACTTCATCTCACACTATCGCACTATTGATTAAAACTACACTTTCTGACCATGAAATTTTTCTCTCGCTCGCCCATTTCAATCAAAAAGAATTTTTTGAAAACTAATAAGTCATAATTGATACCTAAAGCGTTCTCGCTGTATTTATGATCAATGACCAATTTTCACTATTCGGTTCAATCATCACACTCTCGCGTTATCGGCTCGAACCTTTATTTTTTTTTCACTCTCGTACAAAACATTTTGAATTAATATTGAAAACTAAAGTCAGAAGATAACTTTATGAAAAGTTAACGCCAATTTAATTACCGAGTCCGGTCAGAACAATGGTCATCATATACCAGACTTAAAGAGATTTAACCGGACATTTTTTGGGACTTAAACATAAAATTTATAGCAATTAAAATTAAGGACAAAAAAACTAAAATACGATAAGCAAAAATTAACAGCGATGATATAATAACCTGTGAAAATTTGAGTTAAAATTGAAATACTTCAAATATAATGAACGGAAACAATATAATTTTAAATATGTTGGCAGAATTGCAATTCAAAAGTACAATATAAAACATAAAATTAATTGTGTGATAATCTCTCAATATAAGAAAGATATATAACTTTGCAAGATTACATCAGCTTCATCAGAATTTCCCACTCATACATGCATGCACTTGATGTTGATGTTTATGTGTTTCTCAATAATTGCTTTTATGTTATGCTATTTAATGTTTATGCGTTTCTCAATAATTGCTTTTATGCTATGCTACTTGATGTTTATGTGTTTCTCAATAATTACTTTTAAATATATATCCAAGTTAATCAAGGATTTGGTTCAATCTCAAAATGTAATACAATTGGAAATTTTTTGTTGAAACATGTAATCATAATATCAACCATGCAAAATGGCTTCTCCGCATCTCCAAAAACTTTCTCTAATATTGAGTTTTTTCTTGCTCATTTTTGTAAATATGTTATAATTTACTATTTTTATGAATAATATTTTTCTAAACAGTCGTATGTAAATCAATCTTGACTTCAACATGAAGTTTTCGTTTTTTTTTTAAATTTTACACTGTCTTTGTTTATAAATATAAAAAAATATACAAATTATTATAAAATAAATAGATGATCTTGTATATTTAGATAGTCTAATATGTTTTAAAAAATAACGACTTTAACTTCTTTTAAAATATTTAATAAATAGATAATTTTGCATATTTAGATAGTTTAATATGTTTTAATAAATATATATTTTTCTTCTAATATATTTAAATTCTAACTGAGTCAAATTAAAATCCCAAACACATCGAAAAATAAAAAAGCAAACCATATTATACATTATTGAACGATCATACCACTCAAATCAGATTTTAAATTAATTTTTCAAAACCTAAAACCATAGACTTACATGGACATATATATATATATATATATATATATATATATATATATATATATATATATATATATATATATAGAGAGAGAGAGAGAGAGAGAGAGAGAGAGAGAGAGAGAGAGAGAGAGAGAGAGAGAGAGAGAGAGAGAGAGAGAGAGAGAGAGAGAGAGAGAGAGAGAGAGAGAGAGAGAGAGAGAGACGAATGTTCCAATAAAAATGAGTTTTCATTATAAATCATTTTTTAAAACATTTATCACCCACATGAAAAATTAAATATTATTAACGTTTAAAAAAAGTTGGTTTTTTAAATAATTAATTTTTTATAATTTAAAATAAACTTCAATGTTAAAAAAATCAATAATGCTATTTAACCAAACTTCCAATATAACCAAGTAATAATATATAATAAATTTTGTTTAGTTAACTACAATTTGGTTCGTTAAATTTTGGTTTGGTCAACTACGGTTTGATTATCGAACTCTTTGATAAATTGTAGTTTTGTTCATTAACTAGAGAGAATAATTTGTTGTTCATTAACTAGAGAGAATAATTCGTTCAATTCTATAGTTAGATTCATTTATATTAATTTTTTGAACAACCAAGGACCTGGCTGGATACACAATATGTCCCCTAGAGAGTAGTATAATGTCTTCAAAAATATCATAAGTCTCACGCACTCTCTGCAAGAGCGAGATCACAATTGTTCCCTTGAGAAGTTGGA